AGGCTTAATGATGAGCAATCGGCTTCAAAACGATCATCTGTCACCACATTGTTTGTAACACTACATTTTCCACAGATGCACAACCCTTATTGCTTTTAGGCCCCATTACTGTGGGCTGCTGGGTAAGAGAGGGGCCGATGCTGAGAGAAGATAGACAGGCCGATTTTAAAAGCTCTCCGTTCTCTTTTTAGTCATTCCAAAACACATCAGGGCCCCTGCCTGGGGACCTCTGAAGCCCTGACAGCCAAAAGACACTACCTGCGTCTAGACGTAAAAACACATTAAATCCAGAGTCAGGAGAAGACACAACACGCGCAGGGAAAGTTATGATAATGACTTATTTCACTTTCAAAAGAGTCACTCCTCTATTTTGGTTTGGTTCAAGGAGCTCAAGGAATTTTGATGGAACATTTGCTTGTGGTATTGGCCAGAAATACTGTATATTAAATAACAAAGCTATCTACCTAAATAACCGAGAGGAAAACTGAAAACTAAGATAGATGAATTGCACTGCAAAGATGTTAGACTAAAACGCTGTGTTGTTAAATTGTTTTAAAGTCATAAGATGTCACAAAAAATGCAATTCTAAACATTTAAAAGAAAGAAAAAAAAGTCACACCTCTATGCAATCCCAGTTGTAAACTGATAAGCGAAGCCCCTCCATCCTGGAGGTGCTAAAAACGTCCCGTTTGCAGTGTCACAGAGTTGGCCTCAGGTATGCATCGGCGGAGGTACAGCCGGGGATAATTGAAACCGTTCCCACCTCGGCAAAGTCAGGGAGGAGAACTCTGTCCCACAGACGGCTCTGTGTTGTTTTCTCTCCCGGCGAGCCGTGGCCCTTCCCCGCTGAGAGGGAGCACGGCCGGGCCTCCAGAGACACACATTCCCACACACCAACCCGCTCTCCACCTCTCACCCAACACACAAGAATGCTTTCATCCCCAACACATCCTCACACTCAGGTACTGCACACAGCATATCACACAAGCTGGGGTAATCACATACAAGAATTATGGTAGAACCAGTTGTGGTATAACCAAAGAGAACCATGCCAAATAAAGCTCTGTGTGTTCTGTGCTCATATTAAATGTGTGATTTGTAAAAATGCTATTTCTTGTGCCCTGATTTCTCCTAAAAACAACTAAATATTTAAATGAAGGAAAGGATTATTAATTGGTTTATTTTCAAATTTAATTGTGAATATTTCCAAGGCAAAACTGAAAAGTAAATTAACTGAAATAATTTGAAATGACTTATGCACATACAATACTATTTCAAAGTTTGAAATCAGTATGATTTATTTTTTGAAAGAAATTATTACTTAATTATCAAGGACACATTAAACTAATCAAAAGGGGCAGTGAATACATTTATAATGTTACATAAGATTGCTATTTCAAATAAATGCTGTTCTTTTGAACTTTATTTTCATCAAAAAAATGTATTGATCGTTATTCGTTCATGTTAGTTAATACATTAACTAACATTAATTAATGGAACCTTATTGTAAAGTGTTACCAATCAATTTTTTTCAGAAACACACATTTCTAATTAACCTTTCAATAAAATTATTCATAAAAATTTTACCGGACATTCTGCACACTCTCTTAATATCAAATGTGCGGTTCCTGAAAATAACCACTAAAATCTTCCTTTCTCATGAAGAAATTTGAATCAATATACTGCAATCAATACAAGGATCATATTGCTGACAAGCATGAAATATATTCTGTCATTGTACAATATAAATAATTAAGTGAGCCAAAAAACAAGACAGAGTGTCTCTTTTTCCAAAGACCTCTACGTGTTTAAGTGTCTGCTAGGTCACAGTAGTGTATGTGTGTGTGTGTGTGTGTGTGTGTGTGTGTGTGTATGAAGTAGATCCCTTATGACCAATACGACATGACTTTTCCTTTTCATTACCTTCCTCTATATCAACATTCATACAATTATCAGAATATATCAAACTCCAATCACACACACGTGCAAGAAAGCAGGCGGAACAGTGAACAAATAACACAACCTATTGACTGCACAGAATAATTTAACACAACACAATGCAACATGACCCCACACATTACCAACACACCCTGACATTTTAATCAGACAGGATGTGACCACGAGAAAATGTATTCATGTGGATTTAAACACTAAACAGTGATTTGAGGCACAAAGCAAATGCTGAGAGGCTGATGGCGTATTTCTGGACAGTGCCGGCTGTACTTTACACATTTGTGTAAGTTACACAGTTGACAATCACCAATCACCATAAGGCATTTGTATGTGCAAAGCCAGAGGGAAATCCCTTTATGGCTTTGACTACATTAGACCGAGCATGTGCATTTCTTCAAGGTCTCAAATACATATCTGTTGTGGTATTTACAGCTTGAAATTCTCCCATAATTTTGGTCTGTCTTTCTGAACACCCCGTTTAGTTCAAAGAAAGCATTCTGTTACGGTTTAAAGTAGAGAAAGTGAAGTTTTCTGCTATTGCATGCAATTGTCGTTTTAAGAGAAACGTCCTTAGCTTTAAAGTGTCAAAACGAAATGTAATAATTCGGTTGCTGAGATATAGCAGAAAGGAAAAACTGCACATTGCACAATCCAATCATTTTACAAGATGCCTCGACAGCCGAATCATACACAAGTGGAACGAAAACACATGAAACGAAATCAAAATACAGGACAGATGTTGTGAAAAAGCCACATTTAAGCTTTGTCACAAAACTGTCTTTTTTAAAAAATGATTGGGGGGGGGGGTCATATCCATTATACAAAGTACAGCGGGCACAATCTAGTATAGCCAAACATACGGAAATATTTAACAGCCAATTGCTGCCAATTAACTTTGATCAAGATGAGTGCGATTGGAATCTCCCCGTCACTCGAATGTCTCGGGCAGCACAAACATTTTCTTTCTCCCTGGTTCTCGCGACAGGAAAAGCAGAGCAAGGCCGTTGACTAATGAGACTTGGCAGGCTCGCAACAGTTCTCCTCACACTTAAGTATCAAACAAAACATTTCCTCCTCTGCGGGGTCAGCCATGAGTAGGACACAGAGGAAAATCAATGGGCCAGTGGTGTCGGGTTCTGGGGATGAGGGAAAGTGGCTCACCAGCGGTGTCTGGGCTCGGGTGGGTTCAGTTAGATCTGGTCTGGTCTGCAAAGTCTGCTACTTAAAAGCCTAGTTTAGTCAAAAATATTCACCCTTGTGTCGTTTCAAACCTGTATGATTTTAATTCTTCAGTTGAACACAAAAGAAGATATTTTGAAGAATGTTCAAGCTGCTCTATTTCATGCAATTACAATGAATTTGGACTGGAGATTTAAAAAAGGAGGCAAAGAATCATAAAAGTTGTGCATGACTTAGTTTCTATATTCCAAGTCAAACGATTGCTTTGTGTGGGACTGAATTTATTATTATTATTATTATTATTATTATTCACTGATAGTCTTCCACTGCAAATGGAGTCAGCGAGTTTAACCCTGTAAAGCCTGACATATAAAATAATAATAGTCTTTTAAATGGTTGTTCAATAAACATTTAGACAACAAAAAAAGTTTGAATTTATGTTTTGTATCATATTGAATAAATCAGGCTTTTATGGCTCATATATTACATAGTGAGAATATGAAGCTCATACTCAAGGAAGTAGAAGAAAAAAAAACACCTACATTTTATTCAGAGGTCCAAACTGAGCAAAAATATACAATTTGGTGCATCTGCTAATATTTATATGGCCAAAAAGTAAGAAAGTATAAAATTCTGATTATAATTATAATATAATAATTATTAATTTGAATTAATATTATTAATAATTAATATTATTAGAATTATATTAAAAGGCCTTTTACTTGCTAAAAAAGTATAAACTACCAATCACACACCAGGTTTTTCAGCAAAGTTTAGATCCTGTTGATAATTTTGTCTTAGAAATTTGCATATCAAAAATTATACAGAACCAGATCTATTCTTTTTGTGAACGAATCATTCAGAACAGTTTCTGAAATGAATCAACTGATTAATTTAATAGATTTCCAGTGAATAACAACTTCAATTTTATTCTTTTTCTAACACAAAGCTATGGGATAACTTCAAAAGACTTGAAATAAGAAAGAAAGTCAGGTGAATAAATGATGACAAAATTTGTTATTTTTGGGTGAACCGGCTTTTAAGGGTTTGTGGATTTGTTGAATTATTTCACAGTCCATATTTTCAGACCTGAAGCTATTTTAACAAGCCATATCACAGATCTGCTCAAATCACTAAATGAAGTGCTAGCTCAAGCAACACCAGATCTGGTCAAACTTAACTTCACTGCTATGAACACGTGGAGCGCTGCCAATCACGAGCAGAAGTATCCCTACCGGTCTCATTTTCACCCCTCACCAGGCAGGGCAGACAGACACCTAGATACGCTCTCAGTAACTGCCCCCGGGGGCAGATTTTACACTGATCCGACATGAATCAGGCAAAGCGGGCAGAGCAGCCGTTTTCAGACCGTGACAGAGAGTCTGCGGCCGGAGTGGACAGAGACACCGAGCACACAGCATGACATGCAGACAGTCAGAGCACGTACAGAAATATTAGAAGCTAACAAATTGGCCTGGGCGGCAGGGAAGGGAGGGGGCCAGTGGTGGGCGCAGGCCGGGGAGACTGACAGCACATGTAAAATTCATAGTGTCCCTTGGGCTCTGAGGTAATACTTCACCACTGAGGGACGTTAGCGAGAAATAGGCACCCTGCTATTAAATGGTTGTTGATGCTATGGCTTAAACTTTAATGGACTGCTCTTGTGCTCGTAATGTAATGTATACACTCTGTTGTGACTTATCCACATCTTGGGGCTGGGTTTTAAATATGGCTGCTAAGAAAGCAAGTTGTAGAAGTAATCACCATATTAGAGGGCTTGCAATAAGCTCCACAGGGGGTGAAGACAGCTATGGTGAGCACACACAAAAAAGTGAATCCCCTAAGTAAAAAAAAAGTGCTGGACTTACTTCCAAGTCATTGAAGAAGAAATGTGTGTCAGCCAAGTTGAAGATCATCTCTTCCATTCTTAGTCCCAATGACACTGATGTTGGTGGACGTTAATGTAAAAATAGCAGGAAGCGAAGAGTATTTAAATATCTCTTGCTTACAGCAAAATCGAAATTGATTTCTGAACCAGGTCTTAAAGGCTGTAAACTTACTTGGGAGTTGGGACATTTAAGTGGGTGTCGTGATAAACACACACACACACACACACACACACACACACACACACACACACACACACACACACACACACACACACACACACACACACACACACACAAAATAGATATCAAATTATTAATTTTTCCATGTTTACTTTAGACAATTTATATTTAATTTACAAAAATGTAATAAAATGTTGTATATTATTAAATATGTTATAATAAAATGTTAAATATTGTATATATATTAATACTATTATATTAATATTATATTGAATATATAAATGACTTAAACTTTCATGGATCTTTTTTTCTATATTATATTTATTATATTTTTTCCATAATTACTTTGGGTAATATATATATATATATATAGATATTCATATGGCTTTAATGGATAGATAGATATAGACAGACAGAACATAACACATCTTTTAGAATAAAATATATTATAAAACAGACCTCTACCTAAGCCAATTCTACAAGGTTTAAGAGTTTCATTTTTGTCTAAAAAAGAAGCAGGGCTTAATTTTACACTCTGTAGGCAGTAAAACCCAATCTTAGATGCGTTATGAGTTGAAATGAGCTTGAGGTCAAAGTGTCATCATAAATATATCACTGTCCACATACCTCAGAGCCTAGATCATCTTTCTACACATTACTACTGATGCATTTCACCCTCATTTCCCCCAAACAATCTTCACACATCAGATAAAGCCTTTTCCAACTATTTGTGAAAGGCTGAAGTTGGGAATTTAATAGAAACTTCTAGAAACAGGAAGATGCACATTTTCCAACACAAAACAGCTTTAGCAAGTGATGTTTAAACCTGTGCACTGGCAGTAATCAAAATGGATAACTCACTTAAAATATAATGGACTCTTTTTTTTAAATGTATTCATAGTATTCAGTTTCCACGGCAGTAATGGCGATCTCGTGTTGTGTTTGAGCAGACACAAAGATGGGAGCGACTGCTCTCTAAATTGTTAATGAATTATTTGCAGTGTGTTTTTCTCTTTAATACCTCATTAAGAAAGCTCATTACAAAATTACACCTTTCGTGGTTATAAACTTGTCTTTGCACATATATATGGTCGATTTTCTCATCTCAATTGAACCACAACTATTTAGGAGTCAGTGTATTTAAATTGACAGTTCACAGCGTTGAAACAAAGAAACACTGTAGTACGTGCTTAAAACAAGGCCACAGGGTTTATTAAATGGATATTTAGACTAGTATTCAATTTAAAATCATTGTTGTAATCTTCATTCCCCACAGGCTTATTTTTCGAATCAGTGGCTGCTCTCTCGCTGTTCATTAAGAGGATAAAGCAAGTGTGCGAATGAGAGAGGAAAGCAAAGGAGGGGATTTATTCCAGCGTCTGTACAGCCGTGCTGAGTCAGAGAGCTCTGCTGCGGGGATTAGAGCTTAAAGCCACCTGAAGAAATGTCTGAGCTTTCTACTGATTAAATGTCACACTCAACAATGAAAATCTTTTAACTGTGGACAGCGGGAGGGGAAACCACACAAGAAGGACAGAACACCAGCAAAGACACTGATGAGGTTTTTAACTTGATGTTCACACACTGCGTATAATCTACAAATTAATATACTGATGATGGTACACAGATATTTTTTTTCCATTCATAGAAAGTACAGTCTCTTTTGCTCAGCAAAGCTGAAAATACAGTAAAAGTACTGTAATATTGTGAAATATTATAACAATTTAAAATATCTGTTTTCTATTTAAATATATTTTAAAGTGTAATTTATTCCTGTAGTGGCAAAGCTGAATTTTCAGCATCATTACTCCAGTCTTCAAAGTCACATGATCCTCCAGAAATCATTCTAATGTGCTGATTTGGTGCCCAAGAAACATTTCTTATCATCAATGTTGAAAATAGTTTTGCTGCTTAATATATTTGCAGATAAACTTTTTAACATTATATATGTATCTACTGTCACTTTTACTAAATTTAATACACCCTTGCTGAATGAATGTATTAGTTTCTTTAAAAAAAATCTTACTGATCCCAAACTTTTGAACGTTTGTGTACATGAAATTAAAGCATTTAACCCACATGTTCTATTGAGATTGACATTCAGAGACTCTAATTATGTATGTGTAAAAGTAATAAGCGCAAATGTAAAATTAAACCTCTAATTCTGCCATCAAATTATTGTAATACTGAATGGTCCCCTGACCAATCAAACATTTTTAAGTGTGAAATGTCAATTTTTTTATATTATAATAACAGCTGGAGCTCCAGATTTGGGTTTGTTGACCTCTCTTGCAGTACACAAGCCACGGTTAAGACTGCTGACTCTACTGTGATGTGACCCTGTCTCTCTCTCTCTCTCTCTCTCTCTCTCTCTCTCTCTCTCTCTCTCTATCCCTCACACACACACACACACACACACACACACACACACACACACACACACACACACACAGTAATTAAAACAAAAGAAATTGGCAAGCACACACTTCTACATATCTTTTTGCATGTGAAAATCCATTGCAATTATTCTTTGTTTATATCTGAGGTCTCCGAGACCCCAAACTAAAATAATATATTTCACGGCGGTCGTTGGATGCATGCTAGCAAGTTAAAATTATGTTTATAATCAGTTCTCATGAGTGCAGGAAGTCATCAACCTGATACCTCAATGTTAAGTATGTTTTCTGAGCTATTAAAAGAGTCAAGGAGTCTCTCAGACTGAGAATAAGAACATGAGGGTTAATGAAAAAAGTGATCAATAATTTCACAGTTTATATACATTACTGAGTTGTTCTCATGTTCCTTTTAATTATAAAAGTTATATAAGAAGCTTTTAAATATATAGCCTAATCAAAAATAGGTAATTTTTTTGTGAATCACTTTTGAATAGTCCTCCCCTCCCATCTATTTTGAGCCTGCCAGTCAGTGGACTTAATATAAACACCTGTGTATGTATCTGACAGTTAATAAAAGCAGGTTTGGTGGTGAGAGGTATGCAAAGTGCACTTCTCTGGCCCCACGAATCCTCTCCAATTAAATCTAAACAATCATTCAGCAGGAGAGTTAAGAATACAAGCAGGCCGGAGTGCCAGAGGGTCTTCTGCTCTCGCTGCCACCTGTCCCCACACATCAGCGCCACCCGAAGGGCGCCAAGTCCTCCCTTCCGAAACCCCCTCACTCCCTCCAGGGTTGACGGCCACACAGCTGGCCCGAACCATCAGCTTTATGTGAGCGAGCTGCCCTGATGCCAATTAAGATAACTGATAACCACAGCAGTGAGCTCTCTAACACGGCTCTATTTATAGAGCTCTTCCTCAACGGTTTCGCTGGAAGAAATGCATTTCGCTGGGTTTTCTTACTGTTTATGTCATCTACGCCTCATATCGGAGAAACGTGAAGCACCTTGGTTTTTAATGTAAGGGTTTGAGATGAGTGTGCTGATATGATTTAAGAGAGCATTATGCGGTTTGCGATGTTGCAGGGTAGATGGGATAAGCATATTTCTGGTGGAAGTGCAACGTGTAATCAGATTTCAACAGCAGAGAGGAGAACAAAGAACGATTTGGCGCTTAAGAAACATTGCTTATTATTTTCAGTGTTGAAAACACTTGTGCAGCTTAATATTTTTGTGGAAAGCGTGATACTTTTTTTCATTCTAATATGCTGATCTGGTGCTCAAGAAACATTTCTTATTATTTTCAATGTTGAAAACCGTTGTGCTGCTTAATATTTTTTTTGGGAAACTTTCTTTTTTCAGGATTCTTTGGTGAATAGAAAGTTCAAAAGAAGAGCATTAATTTAAAATATAAATCTTTTGTAACATTATAAATATCTTTACTGTCACTTCTGATCAGTTTAATGTCTCCTCTCTGAATAAAAGTATTAATTTCTTTCAAAAAACCATGTATAATAACAGCAAATTTGAAATGAATCTAATTCATTTCTAATCCCTCTAATTCTCCCATTAAATTCTTGAAGTATGTTCCTCTGACCAATTAAAACCCAGTAGACAGAAATTATTAAGTGTGAAATATGACTTTTCTATATTATAGTAACAACTGAAACTTCAGATTGGATTCTGTTTGACCCTAAAAGGAAAGACACACACGCACTTATAAATGAAGCTTGTTAGGAAAAAAGGACCTTAAAATCAGACGGCTCAGTGTGTGTGTGTGCGTGTGTGTGTGTGTGAGAGAGCGAGTGGACACGGTTGAGGCGCTCTCAGAGTTTTGCTTCTTTACCCAGCATGCTCAGCCGAGATAAAGTAAATAAACAGCGCAGGGTCGAGGGCCAGGGCTCCCTCACCCTTAAAACAAAACACCACCCCCATCAAACACCCTGCCTGAGGAACAAAGAGAACAAACCGGCCGCCGGGCCCCGTTCCACTGACATCCGAGCGCTGCTGTCATCTACACTCACCACAAAGAAAAAAAACCTTCAAGAAGCTCGGCCAAAAAATGGCAAGTCTGTGATTTATTCCCTCAAACAAGGAAGCAGCTTTCTACATTCTTCAGACACAAACAGGGTTCAAAAACACATGCATGTTGAACTCAGATTTAGGGCTGTTTTGTGAAATTATAATTTGGTCAATTGAACGAACAGTCATGGAAGTTAAATAAAGCCATGAGATCACTGACGCAGCCTGAGAATTGTATATCACCGTATTTCCCAAATTGTTTGTTTTGAGAGTTCAAATATAGCTTATGATGGTTTATATAAAATAACAAATACAACAACCACAGAAGTAAATTGGTTCTTATTGCATGTTCATAACCCTTTTGAACCTGTTAAATTTGGCATTATGCTTTAAGAAAATCATCATATAAATAAAGGCAATAATACAAATATAAATAAAGGTAAAATACATTCACCCTCCATATATCCACAGAAAAATATAATCTAGACATATTATATACAATACTCAAACATTTGGGGACAGCAAGAAATCAGTACTCTTTTTTTTTATTCAGCGAGCATGCATTAAATGAATGAAACGTGAAAGTAAGACATTAAAAACGGTACAAAAGATTTTATTTCAAATAAATGCTGTTCTTTTAAAGTTTCTATGAATCTAAGAACTCTAAAAAACATGTATCATGGTTGCCACAAAATATTAAGCAGCACAACAGTTTTCGTCGTTGATGATACAAATTTTTTGTTTTGTTTTGTTTTCCAGCAAATGAGCCTATTAAAATGATTTCTGAAGGATCACGTGACACTGAAGACTGGAGTAATGATGCTGAAAGTTCAGCTTTGCCGTCACAGGAATACATTACATTTTAAAATATATTAAAATAGAAAACAATTTATTTAAATTTGTAGTAATATTTCACAATATTATGTTGTACTGTATTTTTGATCAAATAAATGCAGACGTCTTTCAAAAAATATATATAGAGACTCTTTGCCTTTATTTATAAGGTAGTATATATATATATATATATATATATATATATATATATATATATATATATATACTAAAATATAGTATAAATAAATACTCTAAAACTAAAGAAAAATGTTTCTCAAGTTTCATCAACTGCAATGCAATAATACATTAACTTCACTGAAAGGGCAGTTAAGGCAAACACTTAATTAAACTTAACAATGAACCATTTCTGAAGGACAAAAAAACCCTTAAGAAGTGTCAATGGACATTCTCGGTGCAACTGGTTTGTAATCCATGCCTGTTCCAGCCACATAACTCAGACAGCTGCAGGCCGAGCTCAATGCCTGCAAGGCCTCGATGATCTTATTGTATATAGACAAAATAGCTAAACTAAAAATATATATATATATATATATATATATATATATATATATATATATATATATACTAAAATATAGTATAAATAAATACTCTAAAACTAAAGAAAAATGTTTCTCAAGTTTCATCAACTGCAATGCAATAATACATTAACTTCACTGAAAGGGCAGTTAAGGCAAACACTTAATTAAACTTAACAATGAACCATTTCTGAAGGACAAAAAAACCCTTAAGAAGTGTCAATGGACATTCTCGGTGCAACTGGTTTGTAATCCATGCCTGTTCCAGCCACATAACTCAGACAGCTGCAGGCCGAGCTCAATGCCTGCAAGGCCTCGATGATCTTATTAAAAAAAGAAACAATTACACTGAACTCTGAGTTCCTCGAAGTGGGACGGTGTACCCAAACAGACCCTCTTTCTGTGTATTTTCCTAAACTTTGCATTTAAAATGCATCACTTACCCTTCCGAATCTGTTGGCGTAAGATCCCGTGAGCAAGGAATGGAAAACGATGATTGTTTCATCCAAGTCCCAAATGAACACGCGCTGAGAAAAGAAAGAGCAAAATCAATGGCTCACTCAGCATGCAAGATGATCTGATTGTCAATAAGAAGGGTGCATAGACTCATGCGCCCTGGGATCAGTAGATATACAGCACTGATGGTCACCATAACACCCTGCAACTGCGGGAAGAACCACCACTGGACAATCCATCTCCTGCCCCCGATGCATTAACACAATCGATACCAACAAACTAATTAACTAGATTTGTTAACATGCTATGATGACAGCATGCTAATGGGGCCAAAACCTTCCAGAGATTCAGGTCATGTTAATGAAAAGACCATGAACTGTACATCTCAAATATGATCGAGATATAAATATAATTCTACATTGAAAATTTGGTGTAGAAAGAATTTTCAAACAATTCTTCACCAAACTGAATTTATATATATATAGAGAGAGATTTTTTTTAATTTTTTTATTCAAAACATTTTTGAAACCCAGTGAGTGTTTATATGCACAACAGTATGCATACAATTTTTGGAAAATTTCACAAAACGTAACAATGCAAGAAATTATCTGTTTTCTTTTTGTAAAACATGTTTTCTTCCTGTCAAAACATGTGACATGCACACAAAATAAACAGACAGAATGCCGATTTAGGCTTTTGCATGCTAAGCGTGCAAAACATGCAAAACAAAGCTTTCACCAAAAAAAGCATTTACATGTTGTAACATGTAAAACTGAGCATGGAAACGTACTCAGTGTCACTCTTTAAACATGTCAATGCATTGTTTTTAAGGTAAAGCAGTGAGCAGAACGAACACTTCTAGATAATCAAAAGTATCTTAATATTAATTAATCTATCGCTGCTGTTCCAGCCAGATACATTGACAGAGCAGCAGCGCTCCAATACCTCAAGGTCAGAGTCGGGAGGTGGGGATGGGTTATTGTTCCTCCTTCCCCGGCCACGTGACTTTCCATCTGAAGCCCGACGCAATCGATCTGAATCTGAATCTTTAATGGGGGTTGATGGACTGTGGATTGTACTGTACTCTCCTGCAGGTAAAAAGTAAGGCAAAAAAGTATATCAAAAGAGGAAAATAAAAAAGGCTTTCATCTTCACATTGTGACTGGATCCGTTTACCTCATCTAGTGTTCAGTGCTATAGCTGCTGCCCACAAGCTCTAATATCATGCTGTTTATCTGATTTTCTTATACCCTAGATACCATTTAAGTTTTAGTAATGGCAATGAGGGTGTTATGCACTACACCATCCTTCCCTAATTACACGACAAGGCAAATGTAAGAAAAGTTTGAGTCATTGAGGGAGCAAAAATAGACTAAATAACTGGCAATATTCTATCAAATATGATGTCAACTTCTTGTTTATAGAACTAAGCAATATTAATTTTGGCTGATGCGGATAAGCTGATAATTATGCTCACATTATGGCCAATAATTGATAAATGGCACAAATTAAGAACAATAATAAACAGATGTAAATAATAGATATTAATATTCTAAACTATTTTTTTGAAGTTTGAAAAAAAAAAACTTTACACACTCGAAATGAATTTAAGCATCACTATAATGCGTATGCAACATTATGCACTCAAGTTCTTTGAAAATGCTAATACAAATCTTAGAAATTACATAGATCATTTTATACATTTATATTTATTAAAACAAATTATCATAATGTAAATAATAAATATACATTACATTTAAGTTTTAGTAATGGCAATGAGGGTGTTATGCACTACACCATCCTTCCCTAATTACACGACAAGGCAAATGTAAGAAAAGTTTGAGTCATTGAGGGAGCAAAAATAGACTAAATAACTGGCAATATTCTATCAAATATGATGTCAACTTCTTGTTTATAGAACTAAGCAATATTCATTTTGGCTGATGCGGATAAGCTGATAATTATGCTCACATTATGGCCAATAATTGATAAATGGCACAAATTAAGAACAATAATAAACAGATGTAAATAATAGATATTAATATTCTAAACTATTTTTTTGAAGTTTGAAAAAAAAAACTTTACACACTCGAAGTGAATTTAAGCATCACTATAATGCGTATGCAACATTATGCACTCAAGTTCTTTGAAAATGCTAATACAAATCTTAGAAATTACATAGATCATTTTATACATTTATATTTATTAAAACAAATTATCATAATGTAAATAATAAATATACATTATATAAATATATAATTATTTTGAAAATTGATTTTCAGTTCATTTTTAATAAATAATTAAAAAAATACATTTATATACTTTATAATACTTTTATAAAATAGAAATATTTAAATGTATTTATATAATTTATGAGTTTTTTCTTATAATTTTTAAAGATGAACTTTGAGCGAGTGTTAGATGACAGCAAAATAATCTAAATTGAAAGAATACTGGAAATTATGCACAATCAACTGATATTTCTAAAAATATTTCTCTAATCAGTCCGATAACCAATATGTTACCAATATATTGTATAGAATCCCCCAAAATTTATTTTCAATACAGTTTATGGACATTCCCTTTAATCCTAAAACATAACACACTGCAATGAGTAATTCAAAATACTGGCAAAAAAAAAAAGAATCATTACAGAAAATCGCACATTGGGACTTTTTCGAGTGCACCAGCAGGGTTTAGTATTGAAAAAATTAGCCAATCATGTCTCATCTTTGCAGCAGCTTGTAGTATTAGGACCTCCTTTCTCCCCTAAAACCGAGCTTTCTTACCTGCTGGTTGCTCTGAGAGGGGCTGGCTGGTGATCCCTGATGGAGGGTCCTGTAAAGTGTAGGTGGCAGTGGTGGAGGGTGTGGTGGGGCTGGTGTTGTTACTGGTCATGTATGGAGAAGTGTAAGGGCTACTGTTGTAATACTGTGCATACTGACTCTGGCCAAAAGCTGGGTAGGAGGGGTAGTCCTGCAGAAAGACATCAAGGCGGTAATGTGAGATAGCCGCACACAACACTGCTACTTTACAGCGCAGATTCCAAAACGTAAATGTGAACATATGTCTCCTGAGTGCTACATCTGGACAGCGATCTGTCTTCACTCTTTTTTCCTCCACTCGTGGCATAATTCATATGCGAAAAGAGCAAGAAGGTAATCCTTGTGTACAGTGGTTGAGACATTTAGAGTGATTCATATCATGTGAGTAATATGCGAGCGTACACATGTTCTATAAAGGCTTTCAGGAGGAAGGAAAAAATATATATACTGGGCGCATGTGCCAAATGGAGGAAATGTGATTTCAACAGACTAGATAGTGAAGGATAGAAATTCAATTACAGCTACCTGTTGTGTGCTATTGAATCCAGTTGAGTTTGTGAGGGAATTGCTTCCAGCGTACAGCCCTGAAGTTGTTGTAAAACTGCCTCCTATGAGAGAAAGAGACATAATGGTGAGTTATCGCAATGCAAAACAGAAAGATCAAATCAAATGAGGCTTTGTTTGCAACTGATGTAATTCTGAGGACGATAAGCGCAATATAACCTTCAAAATAAATGACATTTTTAAATTGTAGATGGGGGTCGAGTCAAGCAAGACCTAAACCATCTCAAAGGCATTTAGGACAAAGCCTTGCAGGTACTATAGGGGCATGAGGGATTGAGTGTGTGTGTGTGCGTTGGTGGGTGGGAAATAACAGTGGCTTTATCTTTTTTTTCTCCATATCAGTGATTGGATCTTGGACGATGGTCGGAAAGAAAGAGGAAAGGGGGTTGGGTCTATTATTTCATCCATCGCTACCTTTACAATGACAGACACAGTGCCACTGTTGTGAATGAGGGGGAGGGAGAGGGCGGGAGTTTTACCTGACATCATGCCTCGATGAATATGCATATCTGTCTTCCTTTCAAGCTGCTTAAAGAAGCACCTTCTGGGTAATTAAATCTCTCTATGGAGAGATAGCATCTAATGACTTAACATACATGACATGAGTTATAGGGGCGAGACAGCCTGGAGGTACGCTGCATTTCGAGGTGCTCAAATCACATTGGAATTCTCGAGCGGACTGAAAAACTGGTGTAGCAGAATATTCTGGGTGCAGTACAAGGTGAGGTCAATCGACAGAATTTTTTTTCGACTTGCCCTTCCTTTTCTTAAAAAAAAAAGCAAAAGTCTGGTTACAGTGAGGCGCATACAATGGAAGTAAATGGGGTCAATCTGTATAGATTAAAATACTCAGTAGTTCATTTTAGTTGAAGTTCTACTATTTTTTGTGATGTGCTTTTGTCATGTATTATATGTTTATTTGTATTTGTTATATAATATTTGTAATATTTTATTTAGCTTTCATTTACATTTATTATTAATTTTTATTTATTAATGTATTATTTATATTTAAGTTTTAGCAATTTTAGTATTTAGCTAGTTGCCAAGGCAAAAATTCTAATTTTGAATTTTTTTAAACTTTAGTTTTTCATCTAATATTAAAACATTTAATAGTGTCTTTTTTAACTATTAATTTTTAATTGTGATTTTTTAATTGTGTTCGTTTTTAGTTAACTATAACAACACAGCGTAGAAATGACTGAACAGCTGAAATAATAAATACATTTCAATAGAAAAATTAATACAAGTACTTTTATAAACTTTAAAGCTTCATCATTTAAATCCTCAAAAAATGAACCCCATTCATTTCCATTGTAAGTGTCTCAACGTAACCTCGATTTTTGCTTTTTTAATCAAAATGAGGGATGAGTCAAAACTACTTTTAGTGGTAATCGACATTATGCCACAAATGCTGTAGATTAATATTAACGTACTGAATACAGAATATTCACATTTTCTTACACTAACACAACCAGGCAATAAACTAATAAACAGCTGTAATACTAGCTGCTAAAAGTTGTGGGTAACCTTGGAATCATCAATCTCTATACAGCACTCTCAACATGAAATGGGCACAAAATTAACTCAACGTGTTTAAATAAAAGGGTATCTGGACATTTGTTCAGCAAAAAAACAGAAGCTGGTGTCATCATCTGGTGTTCAAGAAAATGAGGCCCCTCAGACCGTAACAAACACACAACAGCTTTACTCGTGGACTACTGTCTGGCTCAACAAGCAAGGTTACTTCTTTTTCTTGTTTTTAAAGAACAGCAAGAGGTGCTCTAAAAGCTGTTGACTTCCTCCCCAGACTTGGGCCGTCACATAAAGTGAGACACATGAATCTCCCAATGCACAACAAATTAGCTAAATCCACAGTTCAAAAAGTCATAAAAGCCAGGATTCGTAGGAAAGCAGTTGACTCCAGAGAGAGTCCGGAGCCACATAAAAGCCAAGCAAGACCCCCTCCGGTCCCAAAAGAATGACTCCATGCTGGGGAGAGGCCTGTTTTTTTTCCCAGGGGCAAAAACTCCCCCATTCCTCCCTCTCTCCACTCTGTCTTGCTCCAGTTAGTTCACTCAAGACGCGACACTGGCTCTCCTTATGGCCTCTCCAATTGGGAGTCCATTTGCTGTGCTTGATCAGTCCTCTTGCCATGGGCTATGTCTATCATCAGTGCACAATATTTGTAGCAGAAGTTTTGTAGGCCTCTCTAGGGAGCAAGTGATCAAGTCCAGATGGGCTTCTTTAAAAAGCAGTCTGCTGCTCCTCTCACACGGTGTGCAGAATGGAGGGAGGCCCAATTGTTGCTGTAATTATCATCTACTTTGAGAGAAAATCAGTGAGAAAAGCCACTCTCTTGCTCTTCTCGTGCTTTAGAGCCATTATGGTTCTGGAAAAGGAAGCAAAGCTCAAACAGGTGTGAAACTGGAAAATTAATTCCTAATTTATATTTGGATGTACTGAGTAAAATCAAGACGCCATCAAGAAGTCTTATAATTCGTTGGAATAGAGCGATTCAAATCTCTGCTAAATGAGAGAAAATGATCTCTTGATTAATTTGAGCTCATGCTAGATAGATAGATAGATAGATAGATCAACATATTAGTATTTTTTACAATTTCTATATAATTGAACAAAGCCTGATCACTACTCCGAATTTTGATTATCATATTCTTTCACTATTTTATAAAATTTATAACCCGACAATTTGTGATGACATTTTAAGCCAGGAAAGTCCTTCTGCGATACATTTCTGGATCATGATCAGAAAGCCAGTGCTGTTCCATTAGACATGAAAAAGCAGGGTAAAAATGTTAATTCAATTGTATTCCCTCTGACAGCTGGGTGCAGGCTCGTTCTACTAGGGTTATGGGACAGCAGTTGGTATCATATAGATTGGGGGGGGGGGTCTACATTTGGCTACCATGTTGAGTCCAGACCTGCCTAATCGATGAGGCACCGTGAGGAAGCCAATAGAGACAGACTGGCCTGGGGAAAAGGAAGCAAAGCTCAAACAGGTGTGAAACTGGAAAATTAATTCCTAATTTATATTTGGATGTACTGAGTAAAATCAAGACGCCATCAAGAAGTCTTATAATTCGTTGGAATAGAGCGATTCAAATCTCTGCTAAATGAGAGAAAATGATCTCTTGATTAATTTGAGCTCATGCTAGATAGATAGATAGATAGATAGATCAACATATTAGTATTTTTTACAATTTCTATATAATTGAACAAAGCCTGATCACTACTCCGAATTTTGATTATCATATTCTTTCACTATTTTATAAAATTTATAACCCGACAATTTGTGATGACATTTTAAGCCAGGAAAGTCCTTCTGCGATACATTTCTGGATCATGATCAGAAAGCCAGTGCTGTTCCATTAGACAGGAAAAAGCAGGGTAAAAATGTTAACCAGGCCAGTCTGTCTCTATTGGCTTCCTCACGGTGCCTCATCGATTAGGCAGGTCTGGACTCAACATGGTAGCCAAATGTAGACCCCCCCCCAATCTATATGATACCAACTGCTGTCCCATAACCCTAGTAGAACGAGCCTGCACCCAGCTGTCAGAGGGAATACAATTGAATTAATGGTCATCTGTCATCTGCTCTTGCAGTTAGTGGCTAATGTGTTTATTGCTGTGTTGGGGAAGTCTGAAGGCACCTCAGTTTCTGGCTTACAACAAACTCAATGCAGTGTCATTGTGAGATGACAGCAAAAGAGATAATTCACAAAAAGGACAAAATTCATAGCAAAATCTTAAAATGAAACAAAATATCCTACTGTGATTAGCATATGAGTTTGTACTGTATCATCTGGAGGCTAAACTAGGTCCTTTAGGTGTAGAAATGGACTAAAATTACTAAAATTTGGCATCAGACACCATTGACCAGACTGTATGCATACTTTGTGTTCTATACTTTCATGACATTTAGTTTCATTGGACTTGAACGGCGTTAACAGGCCTTTAAACTTCTACAGAAGCAGAAAGTTTCTACTTATGAGGCATGGAAAAGAAGCTTCAACAGACCACATGTGTCATATTATCAGCATTCAAAAACGTGGAGATGTTTCAACTGTCACACATTATTTGGAGATTAGAGAGCACAAACCGGTGCTAACTGTTGGAGGCTCGAAGGAAAACACTAGAGGAAGAAAGATGGGAGAAAAAGAATGGCAGAAAAAAACGGTTGGTTTTGGAGTTGGGACAATGTCTCTGAAAAGGGATAAAAAAACACTAGGTGGCAGAGAGTTTGCCTGATGCACGTTTAATTCCCAGTACGCAAGTGTGACTTCCATGAACTGACCTCAAAGACGAGAGTCAAGGGTGTTCCTTCTAAAGCAAACATACTTAAGAACGTACATGGTCGAGTGCAAAGGAGAAAAGGGCTGGTCTTAAAGAGGAAAAAGGGATTTTTTTCCATCTGTGTTGGTTCTCTTCAGGCCTAATTCAAAAAAGACTGTGTCTGACTACAACCCAATACAACCATCAGCTCGTGGATGTTATGAATTGGTCCGTGTCTGCCATTAATTGTGTCCTCTTTTGAAGGGGGCCTGAGAGGAATCACGGCTCTATTTTGTCACTCCACCGGGAAGAGCAGAAGAGGAAAAGAGTAGAGGGTGATCCTGACCTTGCATCTGGTAACTGTATGGTGCTTGTCCCGTCTGAGGTGTGGAGAAGCTGGAACTGTAGCTGAGGAAGCCGCTCTGGCCTGGAGACTGAGCCTGGGTCAGTCCGCCCTCTGTCTTGATGCCTGCCCACAATGGACCTAAATCAGTTAGTGACACCAGAGCAGTATGATGCACAATCCTCAGTGTTACTCCTTCCACGTCAATCAAGAATGAAAGATAATGGTGGCTTGTTTCACACTGGGCCATGGTTCAAGCAACCTTTGCATTGAAGCATTTGTGCCAAACTCAGCATGGACTTCCAAGAATTTGCTGGTCGGAGTTAAAACAAACCCGTTTTTTGATTAGACTGAATCAGGCCCAATGCAGGTTTGCGATTTGCTTCCACTCAAACAAACATGTGAACTCTTGGGAGCTTATTCGAGATTGTTCTACCTAAACAACATTATCTGTGCGCATATTTTCGCAAAGGTTTCATAACGTTCAAACCCTTGGAAAAACATTTCTAGCTTGAGTTGGGCTCTCACAGTGTGTAGACGAGGAACTGAAATCTTTATATCTCCCTAATCTGTCGAACTAGCAAAAAAGTAGTAACTGTCTGAGGGAGACACTGAGTCTGCAAAATGCAAAACAAAAGGTCAGCAGAGTCCCAAGTTTCGATTGAAGGTGGGAAAGGAGCTACTAAGGGCTGAGGTAAGCGTTAGCCTAATCTTAGTGATCAGCACATTGTTAGCTACGTTTCGGAATTAATCTTAAAGCTACATGCTAAGTATGAGACAAAACGCTACAAATGCTAAATGCTAAAGTTAATCTGCATCTCATTTGATGACTTTCAATTCAATTAAATGCATATAAAAACATATTGGCCATAATCTCCAAAAATAAGGAAATATCTGAAAAGTAAGAGACGTATTACAAAACCCACTCATGAATATTAACTAGGTAACGTTCGTCCAGTAGACATAATTTATTTATGAAATGTAGTTAAGCAAAACAAATCTTATAAAATGATTATTTGCCAGAAATGTTTTTAATATTATTCTTCTATCATTCTAAAAAAAAAAAATCTAATAATTTAAATAATTCAAACTGTATCAGTAAATAAATAAATATCTAAATAAATAAATACATTTCAAGAACGACCAAAAGAAAAAAAAATTAACATTTGCATGAATTTTTATTTTTTGCATTTCTACAGTAATTAATTTCTTCAGATTTAGTTACTATAGTATTATGGCAGAAAATAGATTAAATGTTTTGTAAGGGAGGGCGTTCATCTGCTTGAGTGAAAAGCAAAGCACAACCTGGATTACAAAGCTTTAAAGCACAGAAAAGAACAAATTGAATCAGTTACCATAGGCTGGAATCCCATAGGGCTGGCCTGGCTGAGGGTATGTGCCATAGGCAGTAGCCTGCTGCATTCCTGTGGTGTACTGTGTCTGTCCGTACGCGGCCATATTTTGGGCGGAAGGAGTCGGAAGAATGTGTGGATAGGGTCTGCTATTTGAGAGCATTGTAAGAGAAAGGGAGACATGTATTTTTACCCAAAAGCCCATATCGTAAAATTTGCTCAAAGACAAATTCTCTGTGATTCTGCTACTTAATCATAAATATTTGGCCAAGCTGTGAAACAGAGAAAAATCTAGCCATTAAGCAGCTGATATACATTGCGAAAGAAAAATAAATCACGAGGGAAATTTTTGCAAGATAATAATTACAGCAGATTTTGGAGTGCGCAAGCTGCAGACATCAATGAAAACAATACAGCTGGAGAGTCCAGAATCTGGCAGAAGGATCGAATTAAAGGCCCAAATGAAGTTGGATGCTGCTTATTTTTTAAAGAAAAATAAAAGAAGCCTTACTTGGAAGGGTAAATCTGGGGAGAGAACTGGTGAGTTTGTCTTGGGCTGAAGCCACTGGTTCCAATGGCTGTGGAGAGTTAAATAGAAAAGAGGCAAGCACATATTCAAACATTAAAAAAATAAGGTAAATATTATTCTTTGCCAACAGAACTTCTGGAATCCAAGGAAACAGTAATTACATTGCATTACACTATTTATTTCACTAACCGTATTTTAGGTTGAAAAATTAAGAGCAATAACGAAGGAAAATAATCAGGTAATATGGGAGCGTTTTCTGCTGAGTGTATACATAAAAACCTAGACAGGATGGAAAGGCCTAGTGTCCACAAACACACACACACACACGGAGCTGGGAATGATGTATGGTCACGCACACTGGAGGGTTTAAAGTGGACTGTACAATGAGAAATCAGCAGGCCTGATTACAGGTAAGTAGTACACATAAGGAGCCTTCATTAGACACATACCGGCCCTGTGGTTCCCAGCCCTTAATGACGGTGTGGAGGGCCATTCAGTTAACTCACACAAACACTACAGAGCAACATGAGATCTTTTGATGTCCCAGTGAATGCTTAGCTTAAGTCTTGAAAACTGAGCTCAAATTGTAGTGCCCTTATAAAAGGTAATTTTCATCGCAAAAAAAAAAGACAATTTAATATATATTACTTTATTATTAGTCATATTTTTATTTTATTGTTGTTGCTGTTGTTTTAGTATTTAAATTAATTGAAATGATAATAATATTATAATATTATTAGTATTTTAATAATTTTTTTATATTATTTACAATGAAAATTATTATATATTTTTAAATATATTTTATATAATAAGAAAATAATGCATGTATTATTATATATATATATATATATATATTACAAAATGTAATTGGAATTTGTATTATTATTATTATTATTGCTGTTGTTGTTATATTTTAATATTTTTAATGAATTAAAACTATTATAATATTATTATTTGTTAACGTTTTTAAGGGATTTTTGTTAAATTGTTTGCAATAAAAATGACTATAAAATTATTTTAGATATTTTATATAATAATAAAATAATATACTTATTATTATTACTATTATTAAAACTTTTTTTATTATTATTACTATTAATATAATACAATGTAATATTATTAGTTGGAATTTTTATTTATATTATTATTTGTATTTATATTTAATACTATACTAAAACAAATAATATTGTATAATATAATATAATATAATATAATATAATATAATATAATATAATACCTATGTATTAAATAATAGTTTTTTAAAATAATAACTATTACTAATAATATTATTAGGCTTACTAACTTACTATTGTTGTTTTTAGACTGCTAAATATGAGCCTCATCCTTTGTGAATTACCATTTGGCTGTCTTTTCTTTAGGGTGGAGGTATTACAAATATTGCGATTCTCTTGCCTTGTGTGTATAATTGGCTGTGACATCTAAAGTAAGGGTTAGTTAAGGAGCTCTTGCTCTATGTAACTGTATTCTTTGCGTCCTGAAACCGGGGCCTTTTACCCACACTTCAGCACCTGGTCTGGACAAACACTGAACCTCTGCACTACTGCATCCCCTGAGTATAAAACAGTCTCAAATGACTTCAGTTCATTCATATTGTGAGAGATAGAAGTCCGAGCCATGATTTATATGAGTCTAACATAAAGGTATCAAGTACTTAGTCAAATAGGTAAGGAAATAAGACAAATTAGCAGGAATGTAATACTCCATGAAGAGTTCTCGCATTTGCTTAGTAAGTAATGTGAGGAGTCTATAACATGGAATGGACCTACCTAAATTTGTATGCTTAAATTTGAAAATAGTCCATTGGGAGTACAACGTTTTTGACACAATGCAAGCGAGCTGGTTTTGTGGCTCCAGAATGTCTTAGAAATGGAGTACAAATAGGCTTTTAATACCACTTTAGGTCTCTGGTCTTATCAAACTCTATTATTTTGGTGTAAAGTTTTGTGTTTTAGAAAGGCATTTCACAATTTACAAGTCATGCATCTAATACCTAAAAGGTGTGCAGGCCACCAGAATGGGGTGTCACTCGATTAGGACCGAGAAGGGGGCTGGGAGGGTCCTAACTCAACACCTGTTGGCATGGGAACTGAGACAGAGCCTCACACTACTATAGTTCCAGCCACAGGGCCACTTCCTGGTCCTCTGCTTATCAGTAACTCATCATCTCCCTCCAGTCAGCTCTACAGCTTTGAGTGTGTGCGTGTCGTACCTGATCCTGAGAAGCTGTCTAGAGAGCCGTCTGCTACAGAGGTGGCGATTTCACTGCTGCTCATTGGCTCTGTTTTAACTGCAAGCAGAAGGAAAGCAGAGCATTTGTGACGCTGCACTAGTAAAGCCGGGTGTCAGTCACACTACAGGCAAATGCCTTTCTGCTTGTAAAATCAACAGACTTAATCTTAAAGTAATGCATGAATTTAAAGCATAGCCGAAAAACAAACTTTTGTAATGTCAAAGTGCTCATTCAGATGGTTTTATTGCCTCACAATGTGGAAAGGATCAGTAGGTGGGTGGGTTTTGTAAGGGTGGCGTAATGAAGAGGGCTTCTATTGAGATAATAGAGCTTTCAGGTTTGACAGCTCTATCCTGGCTAACTCACAGAGAGGCCAACAATTAAAGCTAATCTCTTCTACAAATAAGACAAGGACACTTCCCGTCCAATACACAGAGCTCTTGTGCTGATTTAAGGACAATAGTCATACTAAACACTATTATTTAAAGGCATAAACCAGTCTACTTCTGACAGAATGACATGTAAAAATCAAAGAGTAGATAATTAAGTATACAGAATAAAAAATAAATAAATATATTTATTCATATTTAATTTCACACACACACAATATATATATATATATATATATATA